TAATATAATTTTTTATAAAGATAATACTTAATTATTTAGTTAGAATTCAATAATTATCTTAATTATATTTTAGATTTTTTATATTTTAAAATGAGATATTTATTCTCTATTTAATTATATTTATCCGTAGTTAGTTACACAAATTCAAATATGAAGTTTTAATAAGTTGTACTTACACATAATTTACTTATAATCTTGAATTTTAAGTAATAATATGTATTAATATACAATACTTTATGCATAAAAAATATTTTTAATAATTTTTATAAAATACTTTATAATATAATATAGATAGAGATAAGTAATAAATAATCCCAAACACACTCCTAATTTAATTTAAGCGGAAAAAAAAGAGCAAAGAGCGCGCTAGGCTTTGGCGTTGAAATGGCCACCAAATTCAAATAAGGTAGGTTCACCAACCTCTCATCTTATTGCTGTTGCACTTCCATATCATATTGGTCTTCAATATGGTATCAAGCCAGAGTCTCCGACAGCAGGATCAACAGTCGTGACTTCATTCAGGATCTCCGCCCTCGAAGATGAGGTATTTGTTGTTTTACTCCGATGTATGTCGATGTTTCTTCAACTTCTTTTATTTTCTAACCACTCCGTATATGATAATTAACATCCAGAATTTCATTATTCGAAATGCTGTACTGTGATTTACTTGTAGATTTTGAATTTCTCTTCATATACTTGTGATTTTCACCTTTTTATCTGGTAAATATGGTTGCACATTGTAAGAATTCCGAATTTTAGGGTGGATGGCCTTTAATTAGAGCAGATGACCTTTAAAAGAAACGTGGTGTATCTTCAAACCATGCTCCCTACATTGTTAGTGTTAATTATTCAATGTTTACCTTAATAGATGTTTTTAACATTTTCTAAATATTAATAAAAGAAATAACAATGAAATAATGTAGTTATATTGTGGCCAGCCAATGTAGGGAGTGCATCTGAGTGATGTTTTGTTTTTGGTTTTGGCTCCTTACATTAGTTACAAGAATGGTCTGAATGAATGTAGGGAGATGCTCTAATATTCACTTAAAGATATCACTACAGATGAGATATCCCAGACTCTGCATTTATGTAAAGCTTATACTACAGAGATGTGTACTAAATTAGCTAAGCTTATTACTGACCCCTGTTAAAGGGAGTGATCACCTTAAATGGTCCTGCTTTTTTTTGGATTTACATTCTAACAAGTGTGTTAAAATGTTAAACAAGTAGCACCACACTCATGCTCTGAAGGGTACCAAATAAATGTAGATACATTTCTGAAATGGGACAATAAGTTGATGTGGTGTTCTTAATGGAGGAAATTAGAGTAATCAACCCATCACTACCATCATTACCACCAATATGCTGCAATTGTCTGTTAAAGAACTTCAATCCTGATGTCAAACAACTGTTAGACCTAGTTCTGATAATTGCTTAGCTAAAGTTTATTTTGCACAAAAGATCGTATTTTCTAGGTGGATACTAGTCAGCACAATAATCTCTAAATAGAAACTTTCCTGTCTGATCTAACGTCTTTCACGTTTGTTTGCATTTCTTGATCGCTGCTTATATTGGAACATTGGTGTATCCTCTGTTGTCTTGAAAGAGCCACTTACGACGACATTTTAAACTTTCTTTTAATAATTTCTAAGGTGTTTATTGTCTTTCCAGCCATGGTGGATCTGCTTTAAGGGATGCTTTAACTTCTTTGTGAAAAATCCTAAAAACATTGGTTTTTCCATAACTTCACCTCTGAACTGAATTTACAAATTTGCTGCATGCATCAGATAGTCTTTTACTCATTGTGTATTGAATTTGGCTAAGACTGCCCTGGCTTCTCTATGTCAACTGTTGGAAAACTGTTTCCGTTACATGAATATCAATCCTCTGCATATCAAGGTTTCTTTCACTATATCACAAGGACATTCTCACCACTAGCCTTCCATTTGTTCATCCAATGCACTCACCGTCTTTTAAGGTTTTATATCATATTTATATTTCTTTTCTCTTCTAACCCTGGATAAAGTTCTAGAAGATGTGAAACCGCTTCAGTGACTCTTGCTGATGGTGCTTTCAAGAATCAGGACCATACTTCCCATGACTAAACTAGCTAATATGTAGCAAGTCATAGTCATAGGCCCGCATGCAGGTATTATGACAGTACTATCTATACAAGTCCATCTATACTTTAAATTAATTAAACCAGATCATGATGGTTCTTTTTTCAATGTCTGGCTTATGAGAAGATCAAATATGCAACTTTGAGTTTAAACAGTAACTGAGTCCACAAGTTAAAGATTGACTAGCTTACATATGGGGATGGAATGCTAAAAGGGTTTTCCAAACATCTTCGCTTTTAACATCAATGAAACTTACTCCCTGTGTAACTAATGCCACAGGATTGTGGTTAATGTGCTCAATGGTCTAAATAAACACACATCCGAAAAATCTTCTTGGACTAGTTAAAGGTTACCTCACTTATGTCCAGTGTTCTCTTCTGGGAAATTGTCATATCTACCTTGTTCATTGATGCATTTTGTCAGATAGATCACGAAGAAAATGGGAATGACCTCAAAGATTTTTGATCTTTTAATTTTATAGTTGCCTCTCATCAAATGCATGAGAAAAGTAGGAATAAGCTGCATCCACAAATCCACGATTGACTATGAATCCAACAGCGAGTGTCCCTGTCTTTGGAATTTAGCTATTGATCATCCCAAGCAATCCCAGTTAGTCAGTTCTATTCTCAAATCTAAGATTTTATTATAACTTCAGGTAAATCATCTCACCAATTGCTATGTTTCCATGCCTAGTAATTCCCACTCCTAAACTGTTAAAACTGGCTGTCTTTTGAAGGAATAAGTGGTAACACATGATGTGCCTCTGAGGAAGTCCGTTGCTGCAGTGTGAGAGTGTCCTTGTTTCTTGATATAAATAAGAGTTCCCTGATCAGATTGCCCATCACATACAGTGTCAGATAATTAGTTTCCTCCGGGGGAATTTCCAATCTATTTATATTGCACCATATCGAAAAGCTAGTAGGATGGATGATAATAAGAAGAAAAGACACTTAGAGATGTTTTTATCAAGCCAGGTCAGCAGATAATGATTAAGGCTTATTCTAAACCAAACGAACCCGGTATATCCCACCAGGATGGAGGGTCCGGGGAGGGTATGATGTACGCGTACCATACCTCTATCTCTAGGGGTAGAGTCCTAGAGAGACTATTTCCGTGAAGATCCATGACTTATGAAACAATTTTTTAAGGGTTTCTTCTATTACTGCAAACTTGATTGTTTTCACCCAACTGGACTCCTAACTCTTGCATTACTTCAGAATACTTCCAGGAGTGCTTTGGGACAAGGATGCAAAGTTGGCTGAAGAAAAATTCCAGATATGCATAGTGGCCAGACTCGGGTAGAATATATTATATGCAATCTTGAAACATGATAAGATACAAAGTCAGATGCTCTCTTTTGGATGCATAAAACAACAAACCCTTTGTGTCAGGTGCATATTCAGATCACTTTTCAAAAGTGTTAAGCAATGATTATGTCAAAAATCGAGTTCTTCTATTGGCAGTATCACTCACATATGCTTCCATTGTGGTTCCTACAAGACATGGCCTCTTTGACTAAATTCTACCATGTCCTGTTCTGTAGAGATCTTTGTATGACTTAGATTGGCTTTCCAATAGTTGTAATTCCATTCTTTGAATAACTGCAGATACATATATTGTTCTTTGAAACACAACACATACTCAAATTTTAATTCCTATTCGTCCCAGTTGTTCAGAAATGAAGGTGAGACCCACAAATAGAGAATTGTAGAAAAATGGTGTAAATGCGATGCATCTAATTCTTACTGGAAAAGACTTACAGATAGATACGTAGATAACTTTAAGCCGGTGCAATGGAAAGATTGCAAGCCATGAGAACTTTTTCAGAAGGGTGATGAGGATATAGCAATTGAGTCATAGAATAGTAACCGAAGCAATCTTAGTGGATAACCATATAAGCTTTGATAAGTAGATTTTTAGCAACTTTTTTCATGTATGCAAACATACATGGTATAGTAGTATGAATTGTTGGGTCAGATTTTGGTACTATTAGAATATGTATTCATTTATGAAAGCATAAACATACAGTATATGCAAATTGTCAATTATGGAACAAAAATAAAGATGCTCAAAGCCGCCTAAAAAAGAGAACATACAAATAGAACAATCTAAGAAAACAACCCTCAATTTTGTTGAATATACTCGATGATATAATCCCGGAAAACCACTAGGAAAAAAAAGAGAAAGGAAGTAAAGAAAACAAAATTATAGTAAACCACTGCTAATTTTATCGCCTTACTTTATTTATCTGGCTGGCTATAGCAGAGTAGAAGAAGGCACTCTTTTAGCTGTGTACTTTTGTTCTCTGAACTCATCTAAACAGTTGCCTGGTAATCTTCACTCACGATTCCAAGCTGCACATTGAATTCAGACAAAGAGTTAAGATGAAGCCGCCTTAATTGTTAAGAATATACATTTAGACTTATTAGAGCACGGTTCAAATGAGAACTGCAAAGTTGCTGAAAGCCAGGGAACTAATTTATTAATGTATATTTATTGATGAATGTATTCAACTCATTGACAATATACATATTTTGATGAGATTTATATAGTGTATATTTATCGATGAATACATACTAAAAATTAGTTCCCTTGTAGTGTCATACTAAGCTATACTTATTTACTTGGAGTTCAGCACGCTTTAATTTATTCCCTGCAACATGCTGAACAGACTGTGTGGTCTCTTTTAATGACGATTCCGAGCTGTAAACGAATTTAAACCAAGAATTAGAAACGAACCACCAACATTATATGAGATGCTTTTAACATTTGGAGTTTATGTGTATGAATTATATAAAGGTCATTAGCATGCATCACTACCAAAAAAACACGTAGATCGAAAAGTGCATGCATGCATGCATGCATATACCTTGACTCATTGGCATCCTTAGAATCTATATACGATTGAGTGTCATCAATCGTATCGAAGAAAGGATAGATTTCATCATAATCATGAGTAACTTCTTCTTGGATAGTCCATGGCTGTGTGTTGAGCAACTGAGATTGTAATGCCACTAGAGTCTTGCCATCATTCTGATTGCAGTATGTTTGCTGAAGCCACATACCATCATTACCCGTGTTGGACATGGAATCAAAATGAATTCCAGAATGATTGTTATTGTTATAAGATTGATCAAAGAAGGGTGCAACAGGAAGAAATTGCTGTTGATGTTGAAAAAGTGTGAGGCCATTAGCAGCAGATTGCTGGAGACCCATTCCGAGTTGCGATTCAGGTGACGAGTCGATGGTGATCTCTTGTTGTGGTGATTGTTGTTTATAAAAGTGGAGGTGAGATAAAACAGCATAAAGCTCCTTTTCAGCTTGCCTAATTTGGTACTGTAAATGATAGATTTCGCCCAAGCAACCATGAACGGGGAAACGGTCTCGCATGTTGGCTTGGTAGATAATGGAGCGCATGGCTTCGGTTTTCTGAGAGGGGTCGATCTTTTCGAGAATTCTGAGGATTTTCCTGACACCAAAGAGCTTGTGAGCATTCTTGAAAATCTCCGTGTGTTCGGGGCGGAAGTGGGGGGCGAGTGCACACTCAGGGGTGCACCTTTTTCGTTGGTATTTGCAGGCAGCGCAGGCTTGGCTGGTGCCGCCCTTGAGGGTCATAATTTGTTTCTATTGTATGTATGTATGGTGGGGTAGTTAGAGAAATGATATGGTGATGGGTGGGAGTGGGAAGAGAAGAAGAATGGGGGCATCGAGGGAGGGAGGGAGGGAGGAGTCTCTCTGATAATAATAATAAAAATGATAATATATTATTATTATTATTATTATTATTATTATTATGAGTAATTAATTAATTAATTAATTAATGAGGATTAATTTGGTGGAGAAAGAGACCAAGTAAAAGTAGAGTGCGAATTAAGAGGGAGTTTGTTTGTAGGTGGTTGACCATTTGGGAACATTCGTAAGGAGAGATTTGAATTTGATTGTGTGGTGGTCAGCGTCAGACTCACTTCACTCTGGGTCTCGTCTCTTATATATATATATACATATATATATATATATACATACATATATATATATATACATACATATACATACATACATATACATACATACATACATTGAAATACTTAGTTCTACTTTATTATAGTTTCAACGATCAACTTGTATATGAATCTGTTCGATGATTGCTGAACATCTCTTGTAATTATAGAGCTTAAGTTTCCTTAATGACAAACACACATCAAAAGTGATATCAAAGATAAAGTTGAAGAAATAGATGGTCTACTAATGTCCGAAGTGGCATTCAGTGATACCATGACTGTCTACATTAAATATGAAATTTGACCAAGATATTAGTGATTAGGGGTGTTCGCAGTCCGGTTTGGGCGGTTTAACCCCTCGGACCACAAAGCAAACCGTAATTGCGGTTTATAAAATTTTCAAACCGAGCGGTTTGACATCAAGTGCCAGACAGATCACGAAAAGACGGTCTAGTCTGACTGGTTTAGGCGGGTTGAGCCTTTAATGGACTTTAAATATTAAACTTAAAAACATATATAATTTAGAATTTTAGATTAAATATCTATTTTAACAAAACAAAATATCCAAACAAATAAATGTAATAATTAAGTAGCTTTTGAGTCCAAAATTCAAACAATCCAAAGTCCAAACAAATAAATATAAAATACATATTAGAAAACAAAGAAATCAACAAAGTAACAACTTCATTGTGAATATTGAGTAACAAAATCCACGATTTCACAACCTTCAATTCTTGACCAAACAAAATTAAAGACAAATCTTAGTTGGTTGAATCACTTGGTTGATGTCTTGATGATGTGTGCCGAAATCAAACCATGGATTAGAAAAGATCGATAGATTGATAGAGTTCTTGAGGGATTTCAAAATTTGGAGAACGTCAATGTCAAATGTGTCGATTTGTTTACTGATTTAGGGATTTTTAGGCCGCGATTCTTTTGGATTTGATTATGTTAGATGTCTGGCTTTATGTTGAGTTTAAGGATATATTTGGGTCATAACCCATAAGTTAAAAAAGTTGAGTTTGTTAATACTAATATATATTGTATATATATATATATATATATACATACATATTTGGCGGTCGGTTTGGTCCAAACCCCCCAAAAAAGGTTCCAGACCGGATTGGACTGCCCGGTTTTGTTATTTTTCAAACCAGACCAAACTGCCAGACCGTTCAAACCGCCAAAAACGGTTCGATTTGACTTGGTTTGACCGGTTTGAGCGGTTCAACGGTTTTTTTTGAACACCCCTATTCGTGCTTTGCCTTACCATTACTCCGATGTGTGTTTGGTTTTAGATTTATTTTGTTTCTTTTTCTCGGTGTTGATGCAGATAAGGTAAAAAAAAAGTAGGTCTGTTCATCGGTTGACATCCATTGGATGTGAGGGGAACCGAACCTTTCCAATCATTCATTGAATGTTGGATTTTGTCAATTGATCCGATCCGATTAACATTGGATAACCGATCCGATCCAATCCAATCTAATGGATGATTGGATAGGTTCATTTTCATCCATTTGATACTTTCATTGGATATCCATCAGATATCCAATGGATGATCCGATGAGATTGGATTCATCCAATGTGTTAATTCAATCCAATTCTCTAACAATGATGCAAATTAATTAATCACTTATTATATGTGTTAAAACCAACACAAGGGAAGTTAAAAATTCAAAGTCTCACATAAAACAAATTCCGATTTAAGCAATTTGAAAATAAATTAATTGGATGAATTGGATAATGGTTGGATGGACAACTGGATGGTCATCGGATGATTTATTGGATGAGTAATTAGATGTTGATCGGTTCGATTCTATTTTGGTCAGTTCTAGACTGCCATCCGAGAACCGACCGATCCAGATTGGATGTTGAAAATTTCAATCCGATTCGATCCAATTACAATTGTATATTCAATTATGGTCGGTCAAATTCTAATTGGATCAATCGATTTCAATTGGATCGATTGATTTTCTACACACCCCTAAAGAAAAGGGTAAGTAATACAAAAAACATTTAATATTTAAATCTATAGAGAAAAATATTGCCATATAACTAAAAATATGGAGTTGTTAATTTACAAATACTGTAAAAAATATATTTCAGCAAATTGTAACCATTAGAATTTAGTAGTTTATTTGGGTTTTAAATCATTTGTAAAGTTTGCTTTTAGACCCCAAAATGAAGGTTTAGAAAGTTGATTCCTTAAAATATGAATCAACCTAAAGTTGGAAATACAATTTTCCCTTCTGTTATCCATAGATGCCAAATTTTTTGTTCTACATTTCTGACGTATAAAGCTTCACACGGGGCCATGCTAATACTGGCTTGCCAGCTATTTTTGTTATATGCGAAATCCACAAGTTATAGAGACTCGTCCCAATCATCGGACCACTCAAGAGCACAAGCCCATAACATATCTTCTAGGGTTTGAATAGTTCTTTCAGTCTGACTATCTTTTTGTGGATGAAAAGCGGACCTCATAGTCAATCTCGTACCCTAGGCTTGATGAAGACTTTCCGTAATCAAGATGTTCGATCCAATGTGATAGAAACTAACATGCCATGCAATATCACAATTTTCTGATATAATAGGTCGGGCAATTTACTCACAGGGTGCATCCCTTGTATAGGTAGGAAATTAGCCGACTTTGTCAAATGGTCAACTACTACCCAAATAGCATTATGTCGTCTTTGTGCTTTTGGCAGTCTTGTCACAAAATCACAAAGATATATTCTCATTTCCAAATTGGAAAATCTAATGGTTGTAACAATCTGCTAGCCTGCTGATGCTCGATCTTCACTTTCTTGCAAGTATGACACTTTGCCACGTATTCATTTATATCTCGTTTCATACCTTTCCATCAAAATATTGTTTTAGATCTCGGTACATTTTAGTGGATCCGGAATGAATCGAGAAAAAATATGGCTTCGCTCAAAACTGCTTCCTCGAGTTAGGATTGTCAGGTACATAAAGTCGAATATGGAACTAGATAGTACCTTTATCATCAACTCGAAAATCTGAGCAAAAATCATCTTTTAGCCTTTTGTAAGATAGCTTAAAGTTCTCTATCATGTTGTTGAGCCTCTTTGATATGAGAAACAAGAGTTGATTCAACCGTCAGACTAGACAAAACTTCATTTCCACCACCATAGCACAAAGCGATACCTATATGTTCCAGATCTGAAGTAATATGGGGCTGAAAAGTTAAGGACAATACACTACCAATGCTTTTACGGGTAAGGGCATTGGCGACAACATTTGCTTTGCATGGATGATATTGAATCCGAATGTCGTAGTCTTTAAGAAGTTACTTCATGCTTTTGTGATCAGTAAATATATCACAAGTCTCACCGTATAGATAGTGACACCATATTTTGAGTGCAAAAACGACTGTTGCCAACTCACGATCATGATTCATGAGTAAGGTGTTTTACCTCATAGGGTTTGAGTTGGCGTGAAGCGTACGTAATCACTTTTTCGTTTTCAAACGTGTTGCATACGTTGAAGGGCTGAAGCATAATCTCATTAGCATTAGTCAGTTGTATGATAAAGATTTCACAGTGAAATTTTCTAAGAATTAGGCGGCGTTTGTTTTTTAAGAGGTGCTGAAGTCTGAAGTCTGAATTCACTTATGATTTTTAAGAGGTTGTGCTGAAGTATGAAATCTGAATCAGTCAGACTGTTTGTTTTTTGCGTCTGAAATCTGAAGTTTGAAGATGAGAGATCGAGAGTTGATATGGATCAACAGTTGACAAAGTTGAGAGATGAGAGATTGAGACAGAAGAGTTGATCTAGAGAAATCGAGCGCAAAGAGATCAGAGTAGGTAGGCGACGATTTGAAATAAGAGGTAATAAGAGGTTTCGCAACCACTTAAATTTTTAGACCTAATAAGAGCTTTTAAGCTCTTAATTGAAAAAAAAAACAAACACATTGAATCCTCTTATGTCTGACCGATTCAGACTTAAGAGGACATTAAGAGCTTTTTTATTAAAAACAAACAGCCCCTTAATGTTATGTCTTTGACAAAGATGACAAGGTTGCTCTTACAGGCTCTCGTTTGGAGAATGTGTATATTATCAACATAGATTCTACTCTAATTGAGAATAATTATTTTCTATCTAAAGCCTCTTCAGACATCAACTGGTTATGGCACAAATGACTTTCTCATCTCAACTTCCAGACGCTGAATGAGTTGTCTCGAAAAGATCTTGTCACTGGCCTTCTTCAACACTTCTTTGCAAATGAATCTCTTTGCTCAGCATATGAAAAGGGAAAGCAGACAACGGCTAGCTTCAAATCCAAGCAAGTTTCTTCATTGACTTCTCCACTTCAGTTATTACACATGGATATATTTGGTCCAGTCAACATGCAATCAATAGCTGGAAAGAAATATACACTTGTCATTGTTGATGAGTATTCCAGGTATACTCGAGTCTTCTTTCTTAGATCTAAAAGTGATGCACCTGAAGAAATCATTTCGTTCATCAAACACATAGAAGTACTAAACAAAATCAAAGTATGATTTATAAGGAGTGATCACGGTACTGAGTTCAAGAATTGTGCTGTTGATAGCTTCTTTGAGAACAAGGGAATCTTACACAACTTTGCATCTGTGAGAACTCAACAAAACAGAGTTGCTGAAAGAAGAAATCGAACAATCATTGATGTTGCTCGATCCATGCTCACAAATCCCATCTTCCTACTCAATTCTGGGCTGAAGCTGTCAATATTGCTTTCTTTACTCAAAATCGATCTCTGATCGTCAAGAGATTCAAGAAGACAACTTATGAACTTTTCCATAGAAGAAAGCCTTCTCTTAGCTTTCTTCATATATTTGGTTGCACTTGTTATATTCTCAACAACAGAGACCAACTTGGAAAGTTTGATCCCGAAGCTGATGAAAGAATCTTTCTTGGATATTCTTTAGTATCCAAATTCTTCAGAGTATTCAACAAATGACGAAAATATATTGAAGAAACTATTCACGTCACCTTTGATGAATCTCAATCAGCTCATTCTAAACACATGTATGATGATGATGAAGAATTATAAAGCTGGATGATCCTCACTATGGACAACCTGAAGCTTCCTGAGAAGCTGATGACGATTCATATATTATTCCAGACGTGACTAATAACCAAGGCGAATCCTCTTCAGGGATTGTTGCAGTGCCCATTAGTCACTTACCCCCTTTTACTTCAAACACTGATCTTTCAATTGCTGAAAACCCTTCAGCTTCAGAACCTTTATCAGTTGTCGAATTGATCTGAGTCTCCTTTAGCAATCCAACCTATTGCTGAAGAATCTGTTGCTGAAGCCTCATTCTCTTTACCTGAACATCTAACCTCAGATGATAATCCCCTGTCAGTTCAGCGATGGACTAAAGACTATCCAATACATCAAATTTTTGGTGATCCAAGTACAGGTATTCAGACACGTCGAGGTCTAGGTAATATCTGTCTTTTTGTCTACTTTCTATCTTTAGTTGAACCCAAGAAAATTAATGAGGCTATCTCCGACCCTAGTTGGGTCATTGCCATGCAAGAGGAACTCATTGAACTTTATAGGAACAATGTCTGGTACCTTGTCCCACGTCCATATGACAAAACTATGTAGGCACCAAGTGGGTTTTTCGCAATAAGTTAGACGAACAAGGAGTTGTGACCCGCAACAAGTCTCGTCTTTTTGCTCAGGGTTACAGATAAGAAGGAATCGACTATGATGAAACTTTCACACCAGTGGCTAGATTCGAAGCTATTCGACTATTTCTAGCCTTTGCTGCCCATAAAGACTTTAAAGTGTTTCTGATTGTCCCAAAATATCACCGAATCAGATAAATCTTGTAAGAATAAGATGAACAAGTAGAGAGAATTTTAACCCAAATGATTTTGTATTGAATTCTTCAATGATTACAATAATTCTCTCATTAATGACAATTAACTCTCAACAATGATGATTAGCACAACAAACTACAAAGCATTACTTATTAATACTACGAAAGCAATAAAGGCTAAACTATTACAAAATGAGAGAAACTAGCTTGAATACAACATTAAAGCACAACATTGAACCCAACATTCTCCCCCTTTGGATTCAAGCTCAAGACAATGTAAATTTAGATCGTCGAAATCCCAGATTTGTCTCACACCTCCTTAAGGCACTATGATATTGCAACTTTTCATCCAGAAGCTCTAAACCACTTATCAAAAGGAACCTTTCTCTTGGACTCATCTATCACGTTCTGCCGCCTTGTCATCAGTAGCTTTAATTCTTTCAAGAGCTTTGCGTATTATCTTGATCGTCTGCACACAGTACTTATTTAGCTCGCGAAATCTCATTAACCTCTTAGCTCTATCAACACCATCATAGATCACACCAAATTCAGGATCTTCAAGTATCAGAAACATAGGGTAGCCTTCAATGTCATCAAGGTCTTGGTTAGGTCTCTTCAAGTTTACAATCTTTTGATTGCTCTCGAAACCCATTTGTACGTCAATCATCGAAGACAACATGAAATGACTCTTTAGATATCTCTTGATCGCTTCAAGACCAAGAACCACTCCTTTTCTTCTAACCGTTAGATCACGAATCTCATGATATAGATGCTCCAAATCTTTGAGATAGAGGTTCGGAAAATCAGCTTCACTGAACGTCCAAATATGACCATCTTGTCTCGTCACAGTGTATACTGGATACCAGACTCTTACGAGTTTGTTGGCATCAATACTCTTGATTGAAACAATTCGGTGTCTGGTGCGTACTTGACTAATTAACTAGCGCTTCGCTTTAAGAAAATGCTTGTACTCCACATGATATTCACGCGTTTCCTTGAGAATTCCGATTATTTTATCTCCGCTCAGAGCTTTATGATGACGTACGAAGACTGCAAAGTAGATGTCTTCGAGATACAGTTCTCTGATTCGAGCTCTATCAAATCCTGGGACGTTGGCGCGAATAGAAAACGGTACATAATTTTTAGAAAATATCTCTGTCGGATCAGGTACCCCCTTTGTGGTATCGCATGCGCCTTGAGACATTACGGTAGGAGCTTCAGGAGAGGATTGATGATCAGACTGGAACGAAAAGATTGGATCATCTTCATTGATGTCTGCTTCGAAGTCAAAGAATATGTCCCCTGATCCATCAATATTGTCAATGTCAACACCATAATCTCGAACTCCTCCTAGTTTTGTTGAAAATACATCATTGAAACCCACGTTTGTAGACAGATCCAAAAGCAACCTTGTTTCTACAGTGGAGAACGCCGGCTTTGCAACCATTGGCTCGATCACTGAATCTGCCGCTATAACTAACTCCTGACCTGTAGTCCGTTCACTCGTACCAGCTTGAACCGGACTTTCTTCTCTGATCTCTTCAGGTTCCGACTCCCCAGAAACACCCGCAACACCCATCGAAGACTCAGCCGACCTCTGTTTTTTATCTCCTCCCCCTCATGGTGATCAGGATCGTCCTGATCATCATGCCTTCTTTTCAAATAGGTGGCTTGAGCTTGGCATGTACTCTCTAATGTTGATACCCGTTCGGAGAGGGCATCAATGGAATTCTGCATTTGAGTAAGTGCTTTGGTGTTTGAAGCGATTGTAGAACTAAGTGTTGATCATCTCTCTCAGTGATTTCATGATAATCCCTTTTACCTTATACGAAGTATTTATGTTTCTGTCATTCAGTTCCAACGATCTTCACTGAGTCTGTTCAGTGATCGCTGAGAACATATAATATAAATCTATCAGCGATCGCTGAGAACATGTAATGTACATCGTCTTTTCAGTGATCGCTGAGAAACTGAAGATTAGAGATTGACGAGTTCGTGATCTGAAGCGGTATTCAATGATTACAACCTAGTCTACATATGTGTGAAGACTGCCCAAGCCTCAGCAAATGCTAAAGAGACCTTCAGGTTATTCCAACATTCAACGATCATAAGAAGCTTGTTGAGCAAGATTGTTTTTGTCTTGTCCTTATACACACAAAGGACAAACCCATACCCTTTCTAGAGTATAGAATGATACGGAGCCGATTAGTTAACTCTACTACCCACCAACTCCATGAAAAGATGTCTGCTTATGAATAGGCTTTTGTACTATTCACTGTAGCAAAGGACAAGTCTTTCTCTAAAGACTTGACACGTGTTCAAACCCTAACGTAGTGCATTAAATGTGCATTTAATGCAATAGGTATAAATAAATGTGCTCTATCTTCATGTAGAGATACGACTAATACTTAATCTTGAACCCTAACTTATGTTCATAAGTAAAAGAACACATCTAAGAACACAATACACTTATCTTCTAAAGCAAGTTAAAATTGCTTTTGTAGTATTCTAAATAGTTCTTACCCAGAAAGAACTCACATCCTTCTAATCTCTTACATCAAATCTTTTCTCTTTGCTAAGAACTAGTGTGTTACTTAGATTGTTTAGATAAGTTATATTTACCTTATCTTTTCTCCTTGTAAAATTTGTATTGATATTTTTTATCAATATATATTTTAAATTTGAAAAGATTACTGTATTTGTATTCATCCCCCCTTCTACAAACTGTTATACACATCTTGTAGACCCTAACGCGACCAACACTTAGCTTGGAAAAACTAGAAGCTACAACGCTTTGGAAAGAAAGAAACATTTTTACCCTACTTAGATCTTAATGTAATTATTCTAATAAAATTACTTAGGTCTTAATGTACTTAAACAACGTAGACTTTAAGAAGGACAACCGAATACGAATTGAAAACTCAACCGTAATACTAGCCTTATGCATTTTCATTCCAACCGTTTCTGTCCCTCTTATTTCTAAACATTTTTACCCTACTTAGAGATCAATCCAAATTATATTTTCTAAATGAAAGTTGTAGGTTGGTAACATGTGAGTCTATTGCTTTTGAAATCATCTCATTTGTATCATCCATCTATTTTATATGAATTTTACAAAATTGCAAATTAATCCCTAATATAGTGTAAACAACCCTGAAAATACACTGTTTCGAGCAACTTAAAGTCATAACTGGATTTTCGACCTTTCATGAAAGTTATAGTATACAGTAAGGTCTTTCTAACTGCAAAATACGACGTTATTCCGACTTACGGTTTGTGAGTGACTGTCAAAGTACGGAAGTTGCATTGTCGGTAAAATTCGATTCCGCAATTCCCGACTAACTTTTATGATCCAACTTCCATGATTCGCTACATTTACATGCCATAAACATACTTCAACATGCTAAACAATAAAACAAGTCCAATGGTCGCTAACCTAAGCTTAATCATGCATTTTTACTATTTTCAACATTTAACCGAACAATTGGTGTGCGGTTAAACATATATACTCACAATCTAATCATATTGAAACTATAATATACCATTTTAATTTCTACATCAATTTAACCAATCATAACATTTTAAGCATGAAATATATAATAATTTTAACAACGTCAATCCATAAACTTAGACATAAACATCCTAATAAAAATGAATGAAATTTATAACTTTAAGAAGGGTTCGAAGAGTGGATTTCGAATATATCTTTGTTACCTCGATTCCCTTAATAACTTGACGTGAAATTTAGAGAGAAGACGAGAGTTTTAGAAAGAGTGAGACGAGAGAAGTAGGCGGTTCATCACCGTCTTCTCATTTTATGTGCGTGCGCACACACACATATATATATAATTAAAAAAAAAAGAAAAAATTATATATATATAATTTTTTTTAATTATATATATATATATATATATATATATAGTTTAACTATTTGGTGGTTTTAACCCTTCAAGTTAGATTCTCAACTTTATGCCAATATAGGTATAAAATTCAACGTTTGACACAAAACTAGTCCAATGTACAAGTTGGTTAAGCATATGGTACAAATATGTTATGCACAATTCTTCCAAAAATTCACTTAACCCAATTTGTACGAGTTAACAGAACACATATATTATATCATGACATAGCTCTTCGTTAGAAATAAAGTCATCAAATTGTTGTGATCCGAAAGCATCAGTTGGGTTTGGCAATCTTAGAATTCTCCGCAGCCTTTTTAGAGTTAGACGACTCATGAATTCGTCCACATGCCCTTCAAAGTATAAGTGGTCTCCTTCTTTTGACAAGGTAAGTGTATGCCATAATTGCTGCAAGTAGACCATAGGAACTTCTGCCGTAGCCGATAAGGAATAAGCGATCGGGTGTCCTCGTAAGATTTCAGGGATAATGGGGTATTCACAAGGCATGTCAAAGTTAAAGTGATGGTTATTACGTTTGATGTCAAGATATAGGTATTGAGGAAAAATGGCTTCATCTAGGATCACGTTATTTTGTGACTGGGGAGGCTGGGAAAGGTTATCTAATTTGACCGAGGGGATATGGGTTTCCTCGTCAGATCTTTGTGGGTTTTGGATATTTTTCTTCAGCCATTTTCTTGTAAGGAAGAAAAAAATATTAGATTTTCAAATGAATTAATTTTTCACAAAATATCAACACATGATACAAAAACCTAACACTATGATTTGCCAAAAATTTCTAATTTTCCTCCAAAAACTAAGAAAAAATTCGATATTAGCGTTTTCGTTCAAATCAGAACAAAAAAAATACTAAAAAAATAACAACTTCAATTTTTTTTAACAAAAACAAAAACAAAAACAAAAACAAATACTAACTAAAAAATTAACAAGTATCTAAAAACAACTAAGACTAAAAAAAAATTAAAACTAAAAAAAAAAATACTAAGATAAAAAAAATAATACTAAAAAAATTAAGCACAAAAAAAAAAAAATACTAAACTAAAAAAATACAAATACTAAAAAATATTAAAACTAAAGAAAATCTAACCCTAACAAAAAAAAAATCAATTTTTTTTATTTAGAGAAAAAAATCGAACTCTAAACTAAAAAAAATATAAAAAAATTTACCTACCAATATTTTTTTTTAAAAATCTAATATTATAAACAAAATAACAAAAAAAATATACTATGACAAATATAAAAAAAATACTACAAACAAAATCCTAAAAAAATATAACACTAAAAAAAATTCGTCCGGATAAGGAATCCGGACACCATCACACAATGAAGTTTAACTCTAGTCAACTCACCGGTGAACTTTACGGTCAAAATCATAACAGGTTCACAAATCTAACCTAATACGGATAAATGACTCAAGGAATTACATTCAGAGAAGTCCACAATCAAATCCGATTAACTATCAATCAACAGTCCAAATAGATTAAGGTCCAAAAAGTGAAAGTTCTTAAGGACATTATTAAGTTCAAAACATTCCAAATTCATGATTTTAACAATTTCAGATTTATAGTTCTTATTACCAGATTCATATTTAAGTTTATGATTATGATGATCGATTTAGTCCAAATAACAATTGACAAACCTTTTAATGTTCAACAAACCAATGAAGTACGGATGATTAAGATTCAAAGAAAGTTAAGATGAAGATGAATAAGATCTTGAAGAACACAACAAGTTGTCCGGATAAGATGAGTCTCGAATGAAAGCTTGAGCGAATGTAAACAGCAAAGAGTGAAATGAAAATCGGATAACAACTTATATAGGTGAACAAAAAACTCTTGACATTACTGTCCGGACAAAGTGTTCTCCGGATTGAAGATTTATCAGACAAAGAGTTGTCCGGATTCGACTCAAGAATATACACTAACACTCGAGAAGTACGTATGAAGTTTTGAACGATTAGACTCATCTCCGGATGACTCTTCAACCGGATTAGACAAAATCCGGATGACACAATGACTGGATATGAAATAAAAATTATCCAAGTCACTCAAGATTAACAATGTTAGCTCTCATATTTCATTTAATGTAAAAGTATGAAAAAATATTACTGCAAGTGTTGACAGAAGGGTTCTACCACAGAAGACCACAGAGGACCAACAACAGAAGCTATACAAAAGCATTCAAGTCAAGAATGACAGAACCTCTGTTGTCTCTCACAGAGGTTCTGGAAAATGGTCCTCTGTTTTCAAGTGCTTACAAGTCATATCCAGCAGAGCCTCTGGGATGACTCACAGAGGGTCTGCAGTTTATCTTCTGTGAAGAACCACTTCTCACTGCTTTACTTAGGTCTGTTAGCTGMACGTGCTTATCACGTGACTATGTTTGTAATCTGCTTTATTTGAACGRCKTAGATCATTTCACTTGTCTAGGTCATGTCAGAAAAACCGTTAGCAACTAATATAAATAGCAGCTTAGGCCTTTGTAATTCAGTGTGCTTCCGTATTGTAATTGTCAATATTTTCAATAGAATTGAAAATCATTTGAAGCTTTTCTCTCGTGTTCTTCATATTCTTCATCTGTTCTTGATTGATTATTTACTCTGTTTGTTCATTTAATTGTTTCCGCTGCACTGTAATCGTTCTAAGAGTTCATCCAGAGTAAGTGATTAAATACCAAGCTGAATCTAAAGGTCCTAACAATTGGTATCAGAGCAGGAATCAAATTCTAATTTGATTTATTCTGTTATTGGTATTAATCTGCATTTGCTCAAGAACACCAGTCTTCTTCTTCAGGAGCAAGTACATAAATATACTCCTGAAAGATGCATCTTGGGTTGACATATAGTGCGACTTAATAAAATGAGTTTCAAACTTAAATCTTAAGTTTGGAGGTTAAGCAAACTTTACAACGCTCCCGTTTGATACCGGATAAAGCAAGACCTTGTTGTTGTGAGAATTCTTAATTCATGAGTTGTAGGGAGGGATTTATGTCACCACAAACAGAGACTAAAGCAAGTGTTGGATTCCTCAATCTTCAGAAATTTCATCGTAAATCTGAACTAATCCGTTATTTCTTTCATCGCCCCCAATATGCCAATATTGGCACTGATAGTACGTAAAGTTACCCTGTTTTACTCTATTATATCAGTTTCATCTTATTCATATTTTTCTTCTTCTTTCAATGGCGAATCGGGCCAGTACATCTTTCATGAGCACTGGTTCTCAATCTAAACCTC